CATTCTTACTCGGTGCGAGTGTCGTGAATTAACTTCACGGGGCGACATTCGTGCAGCGCTCGAATGTCAATCATTCCTACAAATAACATGCTCTATTAATAGCCCAATAAACGGTTGAAGCGCCGTAGTTTCAGTCTCATTTCTGCCTTGGGTACTTCATGTTGTGTCCATTTCGTGGGTGGATTGTTTCTTTTATAAATTTTCGCATTGCAAAACCGTGAAGTGCTTCGTGGGCACTGCGGGTTGTGGTTCTCAGGAGCAGCCAACTTCTCTGTTAGAAAGTACGCCAGAGGCGGAATTTGTTGTAACTTCTGGCATCCAGTGAATGATAAGTATTATAGACTTGTTGTGGGCCCCGGCATGTTGTCTTGAACCATGCCGGGGCCAATGCGATTATCTAGGCCCAATGCGTTACCCTGCGTTCCCGCGAAAATATAGAAGACCGGAGTGGGGAAGGCACAACCGTCTACTAGACCGCTCAACCAAGTTGTGTGGTTTTACAGTTGAGTGGACATGTAAATATGAACACAGGCGTTTGTGAGGTCACATGACCAATGCGGGAAGTGGTGGTGATGGTACATTCAGCGGGGTGATGAACCAGCGGTCTCACGTGACAAGGGGGGAGGTTGTGAACAGAGGGGACATGTGTGAGGCTGCGACGACTGGGTGTTTAACGTGAATCAACACGATTCACTACAGACTTATTGAATTTTATGGGAATGATTGCCTCGTGGTCTGGTTATTCACCTCAATCCAGGCGAATGCCCCTTCTTCTGCTCTCTCCGACGTTTTTTGAAAGGTACTGGCTTCTTCTAGTGCGCTGGCAGTGCTGTGCATAGAAGAAATTCGGTACTTTTGCCGGTGTCTTCTCTTTGTGTGCGTGTCTCTGTAGCCGTGTAGCATACGGCTGTATTTTTGGGCAAATTATGCACAGAATACACTTGCCACCTGGAAACGCCTGATGCGTCGAATGTCAAAAGACGAAAAAGTCAAACGACAGTTTGTCAAGAGGGTTTCAGCCAGCCCATTATCCGTAGAGTGTTAGGTGGGCGCTTGGTGACGCGACCTTTAAATTAAACATGCGGTCATCAGGGGGACGGCCTGTGTAATTGTGGACGGCCACGTTGTCAAGCGCAATCCACACCGTCGACCGTTGACACTGTGTGCGCGTGCGTGCGTGAGTGTTGTGAAGATACTCTGCCTCGGGCGCATAGCGTGGAGGTGAGGTGTGATCGATGTTAAGTCAGTGGGTTTTTTGGTGTAGAGAGAGGCAGCGGACAGTTCTGCTGAATGCGACACACGCATACCAAGCACACGGAGTGTGTACGTGTTGCGAAGCTCGTGGCTGTCTTTGGTTGTCGGTGTTATTGAAGACGAACGCACTTCAAGTCACGAGGTGAATATGGGGGCAATTTGGTCGAGAATGAGTAGATCGGAGAAGTCGTGGATAGTTGTTCGGTGATTGGTTAATTTTGGTGTGAACCGAACGCCTGACCTTGAAGTCACCTCTTCATGCATTGAGTGAAAGCAGTTTGTAGTAGTGTGAACTCAATACTGTCTTTTTGCCCTGATGCTTGCCACTCCAGAGTAAGTGTTGAGGGGAGGATTTAGAAAAATCTTATTAATCCAACTTACATTCTGCGTCTTGTATTATCTAGCCAGAATCTACTTTTTGAAAGAGTGTTTGAGTTTAAATGTTTTCTTAATCACTTTACACATCCCTGGGCCACTTACACATCCCTGTCTAACGACATAAGTTTGTATAAGTCCGTTGTTTACATTGAAAACGCTTTTTTATCACTAATGTTTTCGTTCCCTCGGCAACAAATTTATGGCGTAAGACTCCACTCTGAGTGGATATTTTCATTGAAGTGCTGTGGACAGTCGTGGTGTCCGATGTGTTTGTGATTGTCGTCCGTCTTTTACATTCGTACTCTCCTGGATTTCTTCGCAATTGTGTGATTTGTCCTTGAGAGTCCAAATTCGGCAGCAATTGTCCTCAGTGCGCCTATTTGTTCCTTTTCACGTTAGACTTTGAATGCAATGTCACTGAAACAATGGTTTATTCATAGCTTGTTAATGTTTTTCTATGAAACTCAATAATAGATCGTACAGCGATGTCGTCAATTTTTTTTTGTAATTCACAATTCGACTGGACTGAATTGGTCCTTCGTAAATGTTTGAAGGCGCATGCATGTGCATGCCGGCGATGCTTACATCAAATAAGCGCATGCTGAGTCTCCTCGACTTCCGTTAATGTGGTGAGTGCGGAGGTGATTCTCCTGACTACTTGGTTCACTACTCGTTTGGGGGTTATTTTTGCAGCATGGACCAACTCCCCACAACAACTGCCTCTTCTTTAAATAACTGTGAATGTACCCATCCTCCAATTGCTCCAAAGGGTAAAAATCATGTTCGTGTCAAGTGTCATGTATGCTGTGTATGTGGAAATGGGAAAATGACAAAATTTAGTGTTAACTTAATTGCATGTACAGGGGAAATTGCAATCACATCGCAATGGTGCGTGTAACATCGCTTGGGACGCAACCGGGCGTCGAAGGGGAAACGGCGAAGTTCAGTCATTCGACTTAGCCGTTGTTGGATTTAGTAGACAGTGCTCTCGTTAATGAACGCAAATGGATACATTTTGTGCCTCATTATTTAACTTTAAAAGTAATAATGCATAGTGTCTCCTTAAAATTGTAAATATCAAGCGTGTAGGGTGGCGTGATAATATCAAGGATAAATGGCAATTTTATTCTGGGGTCAATAATATGCGGTGGGACCTCTAGAAAGAACGCTTCAGCTGTGTTCAATTCCGAGGCCATCTGGAGGGAATAGATTAGCCAGTGCATCATCAAAAATCGTGGCCGTGTAATTGTACACAAATATCCACCACTGTCGAAGGAAACCATTCAAGCTCACAATGCCTAAGCGTTGGTACTTTCTGAGTAAATTCGTTAGAATGTCCACTCTAAAAACGAGCATATGCCAAGTGTTAGTTGTGATGTCGCTCAGCAGTGAATAAATGCTGTTTGAATGTAAAAAGGACGATATCTACAGAGTTGTCACCAAAGACTAACCCTTCTAATCATTGTTTTCTCAATAGAGAATTTCTTTAATTAATGACTCTCACTTTAAATCGGTTTGCAGTGCACCTTTCGATGCGTATTTATGCAAATTACAAATTTCCCTTAGTAATGCGATAGTGTAATATCTTTAAAAAACATTTCGAAAAGAAGTGCAGTTTCTTGAATTTTCACTTACATTTTGGGCTCCGTGGTAAAGGTGCCCTTCGAGACGTCTTGGCAGTGCTAATAGATTTGCTGATTTTACTCTAACGTATGGTGGATTCGCATTCAGGATGCAATAAATGCCCCTATGCTGCCGTTATTTGGATGCGACGTGCACTCAGCGGCCACTGTGACTTTCAACATCCGCATCAAAGGCAGTTAATTGTCGCGTCAGCCAGTCGAAGTGCGCCCGTTTCCAGCTGGACGGTGCGATAATCCAGGAAAGTGAATGCGTCCTATGATTTCCACTGTGCGTGCCCCCACACGGCCGATAGAAGTTCCTCCAGCAAGGCGAAGTTCAAGGCAAAGATGCACTGCGTCACATCATGATTTCCCCTAGCAAGAAAATCACGTTAGTCGTGGCAGTGGAAGACGGTGTTGCACTAGTTTTTTGTGCCGATGATTTTGAATTGAAACTATTTAGGAAACTGAATCATATTAATGCATGGGTAATGTCCATTTTTTGCTATAGTGTTTTAAGTAGTATTGACTCTTATAGCTTCGGATTTCATATTACAATAGCTTATGCCAGTCTCAACGGAGACCATGTTCACAAATAATTGTTGCTTCCTTTGTTTGAACTAAAATATTAGTTTGCACCAACCTGATGCATGGGCGGAATTCTGTGCTCTGAAGACCCCAAAATGTAATCAACTGCATTGCAGACACAAAGTTTGGTAGCCACCTGATTTTGGCCAGTGGGCACACGCTCCCTTGCCCTAAATTAGTGCTTTTTAGACAAAGTGATTTGCAGGCCGAAGGTAGGTCGCAACGTGGCACCAAGACACCACAGAATCGTGGAATGAAACCACTGGCTTCTAGTGGTTCAAAAGGGTGTATAGGAGTTCCGTGCTCACGTACACGAGCCTGTTATTGGTCCGTTGTTGAGAAGAATCAGTTTTGAAAGACATCTTAAAAATCAACTCCTCCAGCCAGCATGTTTTGCCACGGGTGTCACTCGAATCAATGTGTTGTCGTGGGAAACACTACTTTCGTTTGCCGCAGCCTCAATAGGATACACCTCAGTTCTCTCTTGCCCTGATGAAAGTAATTGCTGTTTACTTTCTGGAACTTCAACATTGTGAGTAGATGATGCTTAGAAGGGAGGCAATTCGAGTAACCAAATGCTCTGCAATTAGTGCCGCTTTGTTTTTGCCTTAATCCATCATTTCGAAGTCGAATCTCATGCCTGTCACGTGTTGCAGGCGGCTACTCGTCTCCACCTTCTAATACCAATTTAACAGATTTGATGTAAGAACAGTATATGGAGGCTGATTTTGCCATTGAGAACCGACAATTCAGTGGCTGCTAGTGTAGACTGCTAGTGGTATCAGGGTCACAACGAGCCCTCGATCACCCCTTCAACGTGTAAATGTGTATGAACATTATGCCCAAAAGCCTGATTGCCTGAGGGCTTTGCGTCCGTCCCAAACGCTTTACTCTTAACACGTAAAAGATCATTTTGACAACTCCCAATCGTACTACAAACTCAACCACTACAAGGTGACTAGTAGGCTGCATGCATTTAAAAATGAAAAACAGAAAGCGCTGGGTGTGGCAAAAAACCCACACTAACTTTGACAACCGCTAACACCCGAATTACTACACTGACTACCATTTCTATGTGTTCTCCGTCCTGCACTTACAGGCCATTGATTGTCAATTGTAAATTAAAATTTTCAAGTGTTTTAGCATCCGCCACACACGTGCGCATCCCACTTCCGAATTCCTTCGGCTGAGAGGACCGTAGTTTCTTTGCTGCGGCCTCAGCCTACGAGCGACGGAAGGAATGGTGAACGACCAAGCGCACAAGTGTTTGCATCGGTGAACACAGGTAGTCTGGAGGACTGTGTATGTGCTGACGGGTTGGCATAAACGCTGGGGTCACGGATGGCTGGAGGGGTGACTTACGTAAACGGTGGTGTAATTAACAGTAGCGGCTTAGGCCCTAGCAGACGAACACGCCGGAAGGGAAAAAACGTTAAAGAGGACCTGGAACTTAAGGAAGTTTACGTGTTATTTGCTGAGGGGCGACCTGAACTGACAAGTGTTACGAGCGATGACACGTGAACTTACTCACTTTGAAACCACCCTGGGAAATTCTTACCACCGTGACTACAATTTCATCTAAAAGTCGCGGTTTAGAAGATTACGCTTTGATAAGCAGTGTGACCAGCAGCCCGAAACACCATTTAACCATTCCTGTGTTATATCTACCGAGTGTTCGTTATTTAGGCGGACTTTAGTTTGCCACGAGGGGTAGGCGAGAAACGGATTCTCCGATTGGCTGCCGAGTCGCTGGGTCTACCAATCGCAGCAGGGCTACCGAAGCGCGCAATGCAATTTGGCTCTCGGGTGGCCAAAAGCGAAAACCTGCAAAAAGTCCACGGCGCTGACAGGAACCTTGTCGATGGAGAGTGAGCCTTTTCATGCTACTGTGAAATATAGGTAAACCACACCTAATGTCCTGAGTTGCCAATTCTTCATGACTGGATTTATCTCTGACCAACCAACCGCAGTTTTGTTCAGGGGTGTCACGAAGTTCTCGAAGAGTCTAACTACTTTTACCGAACTAGCGTTTGCTCTTCAAATTGGATCCATTCTCAAAAAGGCGGGCTTGCTAGCCTGCATGAAGGCGAATCGAAACCCAGAAACAAAAAGCGAGTAATTTGGGTTAGAGAGTTAACAGTCGAACACACAAAAGATGAGTAGGATTAAATAAGTCACCAGATTGCTCAACGTTTATTAGGAGCTAGACGTATTTATTAGAAAATTGCCTATCCATAGAGCCGCTTTTAGAAATCAAATCTCAAGAGGAGAATCAAAAAGGTAGGCAGGCTGGAAGCTCTTCAGGTGTGACAGCAGCAGCACCAACGATGAAGAAGCTGAAGCTCTATGGGTTCCAGGGTAGATTCAGAGAGACTTGGATAAACGCAAAAATGTCGGCCAGCTCTTCAATCTGGAAGGAAAAAAGAGAGCAAGACGCAATACTTTAGTGTGCGCTTGAGGATAGCTGAAGGCCAACTTACCGTTACACAATCTAATCAGATAAGCCGGCCAATCAGCAATAAAACTCGCAACTGAGTTAAAGCCTCAAATAGAAAAAGTGCAAAAACTGCTTTGACACTGTAAATCGTTTGGCACATTACAAACTTAATAAGTCAACTGAAGTGCTTCTATGTTGTTAAACGTTTAGCGCAGCGCACTTTTTGCAAGACAACCCAACTAGAGTGATAAATCAACTACAAAGGGTGTGTGAAGTTTTTGCCCCTTTTATTTGCCTGTGTACTTTGCCGCGAGCCAATAAGAGAGAGGGACTTCATAAACCACTGGTAGATGCTGAGAGATTAATACACAGTAACGAGTGATCTTTTTAATATGGCTTAAGTTCAAAAATGGGTGATTATTTAATTGGCTATGGGACAACAGGCTGTGCACAAGCCCTACAGTTTTCACACATTTGGGGTGGAACACGTCGTGGCGCAGGCATTAGATTGCCTGCCACCGACCTGGTCACGATTCAAAGCCTTGAGAGCGCACATTTAAGAAAACGAGAAGTGTGAAGGCGTAAATAAGCAGAAAAACGTTAATACGGGGGTATTTTTATGATCGTACTGCTTACCCGACAGTTCGATAACACCGACAGGTCACAAAACTTAAGGAAAATGCCTTGCCAAAAGAGACTAAGTCTGACAGACGCGTCCGCAGTCGCATTAGAACCGTGCACTTACCCTCTTCGATGTTGGCTTTCCACCTCCGTGGCCAGCATTAGTCTCGACCCGAAGGAGCAGGGGGTTGGTCTGGCTGGAGCAGCCCCGGCCGACGACCTCCTGCAGGGTGGCCATGTACTTGAGGGAGTGGAGCGGCACCACGCGATCGTCGTGGTCGGCGGTCAGTGCGAGGACGGCCGGGTACTGCACCGCGGGATCGCTCGGTGGCCGAATGTTGTGGAGGGGAGAGTACCTGGAAAGGAACGCGCGGCAATGTCAAACAACTTGCACGCTCACTCCCTCCCTACCTGGACGGCTATTGGCTAACTGGCTGAGGCATTACGGGAAATCGCGCCACAGTGTGAACCACTTGATAATTTAAATGGCACAAACTAACCGAGAACATACTACTATATGCTACATGAGAGATTCAGTAGTTTAGCAGGACACCCTTTTTGAGCTAACTCAAAGATGCTACCAGATGGGTTCTTGCCCATAACAGACGTCACTGACACCTCGTATATTATGCCAAGAACTTTTCACTGGATTTGTGTGAATCACTGTTTTGGCCAAGTGATTTCGAACAAAGCAGAGTAGGAGCAGCTTTGCGCTGAACAGGTAACAAGTGAGAAGTAGAGAGCTTACGTCATCAGGTAGCGGAACACTTCCTCCTTGGAACTGTCGCCATAATCGGACTGCCACGCGTGACCGATGGTGAACCGATGGAAGCGGAGCATGTCCGTCACTGGTACATGGCAGATTGTTGCGCCAAACAGATCAGGACGTTGATTCGTGCAAACACTGACCAGCAGACCTCCGTTACTGCCACCCTCGATGATCAGTCTACGCAAGCCGCAGATTGAAAAGGTCGTGAAATAAACTAGTTACTCTGAATCGAATAAGTAGTTTCAGTGGCAGTTTGGTTCCCGCCAACACTGAGGTAGCGTTTACCATTTAAAAGCGGCCTTCACTCAAGGACTAATGAAGCTAACCACATTAGAAGAAATCATAACCACTTAGCGAGCTCAAATTCACGAAGGAGGACTAAGATATGCAACTCAAATTAACCGTTTGTCCGACGTCGATGCGAAAAAGGTCTGCTTGTAGGAGTACAGAGGTTAAACAACTTTTCGCAGGCTAGGAAAACTTTTTTCGGGGCGTCAACAGAATGTCATTGATCCTCTCAAAGATGCACCAACTCCCCTTTACGGCCAAGCAATATAATCGCAAGCATTTCTCAAAGTTTGTGCAATGCAACATTTAGCCCGTGTCATATGTAAACATTTTTTTTTGACACAAGCTACGCGACGCCACAACGGCGGTCGTTCAACTCAAAAACAAGACAAATGATTATTATAAACAATCATTGGTCTGCTTTCCATGCGTAGTGTTAACCGGTGGGGCAAAGGCAAGCACGTACCTTCGAGGCGATGTGAATTTGTTGTTGACCAGGAATTCAGCGGCGGAGATGAAGTCATCGTAGCAATTCTGCTTATTCAGCACCTTGCCACCTGTGTGCCACTTCTCGCCGTATTCCCTACAGCCATAAAAAAAACAACAACAGTAGGGCAACGTTGAATCGATATGGCGTGCAGGTGGTTGGTGGGTCTGGTAGCTCAAAGAAATTCTCTTCAATTGTGTTCCAGCTAAGGTGCAACTGAGGGAGTCGTGGGAGGCTACAGGGCCGAGAAGGGTTCAACTTAGCTTGCAGCCCGAGTGGTGTTATGGATGAAAAGGCCAACTTAAACGCACCCTCCACCTCTGATGTTGGCGACAGCAGCTACCCCATTGAAGTTCTGCAGAAACATTGAATTGGAGAGGCTGTAGAAGGGCTTCAGCGAGATGGCGAAACCGCCGTATCCGTAGAGAAGGCATGGTGCGGATCCGTCCTGTACGAAACCCTACAAGTCGCAGCACACAGGGGTGAGGCTGCGGTCACTCAACTCAACTCTACACGCCTCGGTGTTGTGTGAACAAACCCCAACCACGACGGCCTTTTTACTCTTTCATACAGAGTTCGAAATATGCCAGGTTTTCAAAAATCAGCAAACCGGCTCGTGGTTTCTTTGTTTGGAAGATATAACAAGCTGTACAAGTGAAAGACAAAGGCCAGTTTAATGTGAAATTCAGGCGCAATTAGTAGTGTTGTGGGCCCCAGCGTGTGGTCTTGAACTACGCCGGGGCCACGGGGTTAACCCTGGCCCGATTACGCTTGCCTGATGCCCTCGATGAAGAAAAAGATCGGAGAGGGCGTGGACACAACCGTTTACTTCAGAGCTCAACCCCGTTGGTGTCGTGTGTGGGGTTTGTGCGTGTGTATTTATAGCTCGGGTGTGAGTCATATATGCGCTAGCATCGAGACCTAGGTGTGAGGATAATTCAGAATAAATGTTAGTGCTAATGAGGGGGAGTTGAGGGTCCGCGCGGCTGGCCCCATGCTGCGAAAAAGAGAAACCCTGTGTCGGAGACGAAGGGATCGGATTAAGGGGTTGAATAAACACGATTCACAACAGTAGACTCATCAACCAAGTATTGAAGAGAGCATAAAAATCAGGTTAGTTTAAAATCATTCAAAGTCATCCTACACAATGGCAATAGCGTTTCGCATAAATCACATGGAGACCACGGTCCCGGGTGTGAGCGACGAAACAGATGCGTGGAGAGACACCCGTTTCTAGAATTGGAACACTGGACTGGCTTGGTATGGATTCAGCTGGTGCGAACGAAGCATCGAGTGCGGAGTGTCACACGCACTGGTGAATCCCACGGGAAAGCTACTTTTGTGTGTTTACGTAACTCGATGAACATTTTGGTGTGCACGCATCAACGCGATTGGCTAAGCGATCTAGTTAATTAGGTGAAACCCATACGAGGGCACAAACATGGTGGCTTGGGTAATTTGAAAAGAGAAAAATCACGGTAGCTTGCCTTTCGATGCATGATGAACATGGGCACCCTCGTGCCGTCTTTGCTCTGGTAGAAAACCTGACGAGCCTCGAAGTTGGAAAGATCCAGACCCTTCACCTCGGTCTCAAAGACAACCTAGAAACAGCGAGGAAAAGAACGTTGCAGAGAAACAAACAATCAGTTCGTGAGCAGTTTAAAACTGAAGCGAAAACGTGTGAATTAAAATTTGAGTCCAGACTAAACGGCAACTTCAGAGGAACAAGATGACTTCAGGAACGTCAATTAGTTAGTGCAGTGTTGGGAGTAGGCGAGTGTGAAGTGTAGTAAACCAAGCCTTAACAACGTAGACAAGGTGATTAATGTAAAAAAAACACAATTTCTCAACCGTTTATAGCGGAATTTTATTCACAAACATGGAACAACGCTGTCCCTAAGTTCTTTTCGAGATGAACATACGGCAGATGGTATTTAGATTTGATTGCATCACCTAATCGTTCCATGTCTAGTATTTTTAAGCGTCAGTCATTTGTAAATTACGATGAACGTTTAAACAGCAAAATAAGTTCGATTTTAACTAATGACTTCCACTTTTACAAAAATTGGTGAGAATGTTTGGGGGATTTTTGTGATTCACCGACTAATACTGCAACTGATAGCCTTGTCAAGAGTTCAAACCCACTAATAGTACACAATTAGGAGACCTGCAGAAGGCTTTTAGTGGCTACATAATACTTGTATTCAAAAGATTAATGGGGAGAACTACGTCAGTTAGAGTACGGTCTGAAAACTCAAAAGCACTTTCCAACTAGTGGGAGAGAAACCATGATAAAGTTGTTTCGCAAACTGGCAAAAAGTACTGGTTTAGTTATTTGGAGATAATTGTGCGCAACGTACCTCTGGTTTCGCATGCACATCGGTCAGATCATAGGAGTAACTCACGCCAGGCACAAGAAACGAGGTGAATTGGAAGAACATCTACAAAAGAAGTTTGTTCGAGGCTTAGTCGCACGAAGTCACTGGAGTCAGGTGTGTGGCGTGTGCGACCATGTCTTGCAGCCTCAAAGTGGGTACTCTTTTCAGACATCAACACAGACATCACGAGGATTGGAGTGCTTGAACGATGCTTTCTAATGAACGACGAGCCACTAGCCTTTATTCCCTTTTCTTGATTTCATCGACACACTATGCAAACCAAAAGTCCGGAAACTGGAAGCACACATTGATGGGCATCAGCTTACCATGGTGTCCTCCTTTCGTCCGGAAAATGATGACACAGAACCAATGTCGATGGGAATGTCCTTTACTTTAGCCCCGGTTTCCAAGGCGTAGACTGACAGACGATTCTGTAGAAGGAAAAAAGCAATACATGGCAGCCCAGATAAGTCAGGTCAATCTCGACAAAGCAGGAAAGTTGCATCTTACAAATATGCACTTTTAAGGATGTCAATGTACTAAGGGGGTGGAGGAAGCACAGTAGACGCATACTGCTAAACGAGAGTTGACGTCTAAAAAAATTGAGAGCATGCTGTAACATGGTTTTAAGTGAAGGGGAAACAAAGGAGTAGGCACTAAGAGAGGAAGGCTCCTCAGTCACCATTCAACGGTGGTAAGACGTCAGTATGTAGTGCGTAGAGCGAGTTGTCTTAATAAGGCAAAATCCACTGGGGTTGTGAGGGGGGACATGCACGAAAACAGGGCGACGCGCGTGGAAGTTGGCCGCTCCCCTCAGGATGCAAACACTTGTCGGGTATCACGAACACTCAGGAAAAAAAACCAGCTTCCCTATCGGTACATAGCCAATTCCACTTACTGGCAACACTCTAGCTCTTTCTACAACAGAGGGGGAGGGCGGATTATGGATACCGTCAGTTACGCGCACGCATTGTTTACAAGACAGCGGATCATGCAGCATGGAGCGACGAAAGCCTGCGTATTAAACTCACGCAAACATCCTTCATGAAGCAGACAACGAGATCCTTATTATTGACGCAAGCAGCCCAATCCAAAAGACAGGACTCGTCATGAGGTATGAGATCGGTCCAGTTTTCCTATAAGCAGAATTAAAATTCAACACTTTGCGATTTGACTTGGCATCAAGCAAGCTAAGTCGGGCTGAGAATTTATGGGTGCTGGATGCTTCTGAATACATTTTGGGACGAAAGGCGCTAGTCAATGGCAAAAATATAGATGAGTGAAAGAAGCTCAATACATCAGGTAGCACAAATAAGCCTTTGGCTAAGTTTACCTTTGCTTTGCTGTTGCCCAAATAATTAGATTCGGTTAAAATCATATGCAGACTGCTAGACGAAAAAAGCAGCTAACAAAGAGAACCTGCAATAACGAGAAAAGAAAGTTTTCGCCCCATTAATTAAGCCTTCAAAAAAAGTCTTGTTTTAAGCAACCCACAACCTACTCACATTAACCAATGGGAAAAGAGGGCATTTTGGTTCAAACTGATTTTATATAGTAGTTTCCCTACACTGAAGTGGACAAAACGATAGTAGCACTGGCATGAAAAGAACTTCACTGTCGGCATATTATGGTCGTGATGGAGCAGAAGATAAGTACATATAAGAGAGGCATCATTGCAGCCGACTTACGCGTGACGGGTTATCCAAGTCGACTGTTATGAGTTTGAACATTGGCGCATTGAGATCGGTTTGGATCACAACCTTGCGACCCTCGTTAGTTACGTAATCGAAGACCGCTTCAAACTTATCCAATATAGGCGTCATTTCGAGTTTGCCTAAGGAGTGGAAAAAAAAGCATCAAGAGACAGTCACTGAGGTACAATAAATTAGAAATGTAGTTCCATCGTCTAACCTGTGATTTTGTATCCAATCTTCTCCAGATCGGTAAAGTAGAACAAATTGTTGCGTTCGCAGCCGTCATGTACCGAAACAAAGACATAGCGACCGCAATCCGAGACTTCGGCGGAGCTGGTTAAAGTAGATTAAATGGCTTCAGAAAATGTCGTGACACCGCGGTTCATTGGAGTCATCCCCCTTAGTTGTTAGCTATTTTTCAAGACGTTTGAACATACGACAGGTTTTACCATCAAACTGAGCTCAACAATAATGCTAACTTAGCTAAACTTTGCGTCAAATAAGCCACTTAATAAGTTGGCTTTAGATTAGTGACAAGTCAAAGCCATGGGATGTGAGAAATGGGCCGGCTTACCTCATGAATTTGGGATTATCTGGCCATTCTACACAGAGGACGTCTTCTGACTGAGGCTGACCGAGACGGTGATACATGAGCTTCTGGTTTTCGTTCGAGTCAGTTTCCTTCCCGTCGGCATTGGGGGCTGCGTCAGGGTAGCACTAAAAGTGGCGGGTTTAAACGGTGGTGCTTTTTAATTTGACCAAAATCGTGCGTTCTGCTATGCAGTGCTCTTACAAAGAGAATTAAACGTAAAAGTGGGGTTGTTTGACGAGTCACAGAACCGAGTGATGGACCAGTTCAAGAGGACTAGAAATTGAAGATTAGTCGCCATGCCTTTTCGACAAACCTGAACACCTTAAATCAACACTGAAATTAACTCTGGCTTTCGGCATTTCCATTCACCATTGTGCAAAGTGAAAGGAGCTTCTACAACGTAATTATACTCCCCGGAACAACTGCTTCCTGAAAGGCGACAAAGCAACCAAATACACCAACAAAATCATAATAGGAATCAAATGCCTCGAGTTAATAGATTTGATGATTCGTTTAGAAAAATTTAGTTTTACATCGACAAGCTTCTTAAACATTACGTTGAAACCAAATTTTAATTGCTGGTCACAAGCAAAATTGGAATCCACAAAATACATTTGCAGTTTTCGACTAAATCGCAACTTCTGAATTAACTTGCAAACCCCAAAGTCGGTACAACAAAAAATAGTGTGAATTTCAGTTTGTTTATCAACTGCAGTTCACCGATTGCACAATTAGTTTGATAAGCACAGGTGGATGTCTTGAGAGCATTTCGGTGACCTTATTTCATTCTAAGAGTTTGATAAAGAGACTGAGGCACGAAAACAGTAATAAAACACTTACACCGTAAAAGAATCCCTTGTTGTCATGAGTCCAGTTAATCCCAGTAAATTTAACATGGTCCAATTTGTCTTCCAGATCCTCTCCCGTTGCCACTTTGCGAACCTGTAAAAGGAATTAGCGGTGCGCATTTATTTCCAAGCGCGGTAACAGCTTGACTTCATATTTACGATAAGGGACCACAAGCCACCCTGGCCACAAACAGACGAGTGACAGCAAACAAAGGAGTTAGAACTAGAGTTGAAACATGTTTTAGCAAAAAATGCACAGTATTAATGTATTAGTGCTTGACGCTTACCCGAATCGTGACCCAATCTGAGCCAGCCTTGCTCAAACCATACGCAAAATATTCACCATCTTTTGAGAACCCATAGGTGTTCAAGGAAACTAGACCATCAGAAGAGAGAGCGTTTGGGTCGAAGAATACCCGGGCTGGTCCTTTCAAACTCTCCATCACGTAGAGCACACTAAGGAGATGAGATTATGTCAACAAAACAAGCAAGGGGACATACGATTGGTTTTGCAATCCACTGTTGTAGAAGTAGAAATATCGCGAGCCTCGCTTGAAAGGACACTGGTATTTTTCATAGTCCCACAGTTCAGAGATCCTATTGCGGTATTAGTAATGAACACAACAGAAGCTTACTTAGTTTTCATCTGTTCTCTGTAAGGACAACAGTTAAGGTAAGGCATTGTAATGGCATTTTCCGCATCAATGAAGGCTTTGGTCTGATCTGAATCGGGATTTTCCAGCCAGCGGTATGGGTCAGCCACCTGAAAATGAGTAAATATTGTGCACGCAAATCCACTTTCAAACTTTCTATAAACCTGTTATTTTAGCAAAAAGACAAAAATACCCTTCATAGCATAAAAATAACCATAACACAAGGTAAAGTAACGATCTGCGACAAACTCGACATTATGTTAGCGAAATATTTGGTGACCTGAAATTCTTCAAGGACACTTGGATAACGGAATCCGAAAATGTTATTAACAAAATGAGTATTTCCAATGTAGCTAATGTCAGTAAAATTTTGTGTGGGTCTACAAGTCTGTCTTTTGGAGTTGCTAATATCCTCTCAAAAAGTCTATTTCCAACAGCAATGAAGTGAACGAGTCAGAATTGCCTTGACAGTGCATTTTGTAGCTGTTGAAATATTCAAGTTGAAAATATTGATGCACTATTAATTGTTATTCATATTTTGTTTTTATGAATCTTCCTACGGTTTGATTATATGTTCCACGGCGGATTACCTTTGTTCATCTTATATTTACGACACAATATCAAGGACACCAATTTTAAAGTGTTTATATAGAACATCGAAGCACAAAACACGTGTACTCTCGAAATTTCAAGGACCCCATTATTTCTACGCTTTTTAGACCGCAGACAGGTACGTCTATTTTGCACGTAGCCAGAACCGTCACGAAAGGAAGTCAAAAACAGTTATTGCAGAAGATTTGATGTCTTGGAAACCTAAATAGCAGAGTAAACTTAACAGATGTATAAGACAGCTGAAATTGCCGTGGCGTGTTAAGGTAAAACTGCTTACGTGAATAAACGGAAAGGAGAAATAACAGTAATTGAATCCCATATGACGGATGCATGTTATTGAATACATTTAAGGAGTGCTCAGATCTAGGTACATGAAATGAACCAACCTTTGTGCCGAAAAAGTCATCGACTACAGCTTCATCTTTAGAGAACACGGGGTAGCTTCCAATCATCTTCAAGCGAAGTTGCTGAGTGCGCCGCCATGTTGTGCCCCAGAAACGCAGGGGACGCAAAATCGACTTGCTAAAAGCCATTGGAGAATTCATTTTCAGCGCTGCTATTATTGCAACACTTGTGGCGACCCATGAGCGCAGACATATTGGTCCATGCTCTGTCTCTGCGTTCCAATGGTATGCAAGGAAGATATGCAGCCAACCAGAAGAAGACACGAATGAGAATCACGATATACAATATGCAGCGCAGCCAGCTTAATGGACTCGGATGGGTGGGCGTAACGTGTGGTTCTGGTATGTGGCTGGTCAATAAAGCCTGTTCTGTTGCACCAGTCTTCTTCCTATTAGGGCTCTGGTATTCTACACAATTTTCGATATTTCTGTATTTAGATGATTGTCAAAAGAGGAACTAAGTTGCTTAGAATATTAAAAGTATACAATTGCTATGCCAACGATACAAAATAAGGCTAGCATAAGTGGCATTTCTGCAGCGGAGTGCATACTGTTTACCGACCTGACGGTGGCAATGACTCAGCTCTTTTCATTGATCACTGTTATCACACGCATGTCATCCGCTCACTCATCTACACACTAAGACACACACTTGGCTGGTGAAATACTAATTAACGGTCGTGTCCTCTGTCGCATCTTGTTTCACTCTTCTTGGGCTGGTACGAGCTGCTAACTAGAGGGATGCAAGGTAGTGCTGAATTAGCCCCTGCAAAATTTGGTAACCCCGACATGATGAACTCTAGCAATGATTCCGGCACCATAAGCTAGACACCAGTCATCCTTACCCTCCATAGTAGGCTCACGTCAAATTAGTTAGGTTAATTTCAACTACCAATGACTTCCGTTGGAATTCTATTCATTTTAATGGGCATTCAAACAAATAGGCAGATAATTTTCTGAGCTCACGGCGTAGACCGAAACGCTTGAGTTGAATAACAGAACCATGACCCAAGGTAAATAAGCAGAACAAATAATATTCCCATGGTGTACCACAAACTAGAATCATGCGGTTGACGACTTTAATCTTTCCTCCACACCCACTGTGCTGCCCAATTTCGAGTCTTCATTAATCATTATTTCTAATTGGATGCCAATAATCCTCGCAAGCTATTCAAACGCCCAGACGCATGCGAATTTGCAGTGATCGCCTGGGTACAAAATGGCTGCGCCGCTGTGAGGTTCCCCGGAAGGTACCCCTGAAGAATGCTCGAGCCCACGTATAAAGAAGACTGGCACAACAGAACAGGCTTTATGAACTAATTACAAACCAGAACCACACGCCAGGCGCCGGCCATCCGAGTCCACCAAACTCCTTGCGCTGCGCGTTATATCCTGATTTATAAACGTGTCTGTCTCTGGTTGGATGTTCGCATGCCATTGGAACGCAGAGATAGAGCATTGACTGTGACCAGCGCGGACCAATGTCTGTGCCCATATACGTCGCCAATGTAGAATACCCGAGCCCCAATAAGAAAGAGACTTGTACAACAGAACAGGCTTTATTGACCAATCATAGGCCAGAGCCACACGTCAGGAGCTTCCCATCCGAGTCCCCACGCTGGCCATGCGCTCCTTATATACTCCACCTCAGTCGATTCATTCTCTGATTGGCTGCCTAACTTCCTCGCATGACATTAAAACGCAGAGAGACACAGAATTGGCTGCGGCCAGGTGGTCCAACATGTCTGCGCCCTGATCCGACGCCACAGTCATACCACACTACACCACACTGCACTACAATGGTTAATTGCTTATGAGGTCTAGTTTCTTTGCTAGAGTCAAATAGTAATCTACGAGTTTAGAGCCTTTTGGCGGTATCTCTTATGTACTTAAAGGTGCTGTGGAAGTTTCATAACTGGAATATTGTTAGCTGGTAGTTAAAAAATCAGGACCTTTGCTGAATGTAATGTTCAGCACCATTTATAATAGGATAATGCTACATATAACCACAACTGTTTATAATTAATGTTCTATATTTCAGGAGTGTTTAAAGCGGAGTTGTCGTTCCTAATCATGCTAATGTCATTTGCAGTATTTAAAGTTTTAAATTTGTGACGATGCCCTACCGTGTGTGATGACCTTCACCTTGGTTATAGCCGTGTCTTTAAAATTGTACGTAGTGATCAGGCGGAACTACGAAGGTACAGCTTAATTTTTGTATTCTACGACCTCTACCCTGCTCTTGAGGCGGGGAGTAAACAAGTGTGCTGTTGCTTGCATTTCCTGTGATGCATTCTAGTGGACAGGTCCTTCAATTGTACTGTTAGTTCTCCTCACTCGCTGGTATCTGCAACAGCCCTCAGACTGTTCGTTTAGTTGTAATAGCTTAACAAAATAGGATTGTGGGACCTGGGCATTCAAAATGTGGGAATTTCGACGCACTTAATTACCAGGTGGCAACCTCAGTTTTTGTATCGGCACAGGAGGGCCATATAAAACAAGTGGGGCAGCATGGGGGTTTGCGGAAGGAAGCGCTACGTGTTGGGGTGCGATTAGCTCATTAATTTACCTTTTCAGATCTGATCCTACTCCTTTCCCTCTGCTCTAATAGTGTTTTCGTCCAAAGGCGGGGTACCCCGTCCTTGTCTGTTTTCTCGACTCACGCAACACAAATTGGCTTTTGTGCCAATCGTTTTATCTGCAAATTTGCCTGTTAAAGTCAAGCCAGTTTGCGCTTACTATGGTCTTTTTACCAGTGTCCGCCCCTGAAATCTTTGCAGCCATACCTGAACTAATTAAAACCGTTTCTTTGAAATTCACCTCACCAGATTTGTATTCATTTTTACTGGTCACATCTTTTAACGCCTTTATACCCTCGCTTGTTTCGTACAATTCTTCACCTTCTTTTTTGTCTTAAATGGGAAGTTGCAGCAACATTTAGTAACCAGGCTGGCGGTCAGCAGTTTCGAGTAGCTCTACAGAGCCTGCTTAAACCATAACTTGTGTTAATGGGATAGTTATGCTACAGACTACTTTCCCTAGCCAATTATGTACCTGACAGGATGCATCTTAGGACATATTATCTTATGTTGTAGATGTTGGCCACTAGTGTCTTGGTTGGTCTCATCTGGGGTATAACAAATGTGCTCATGAAGTATGCAAGCCCCGGATTAGTAAGCGCTTGAACACCGACTGATGCATCTTAGACGCCCTTATATTTCATTCTAAACCAGACTGGTTCTCTACTATTTTTCATTAATTTAAAGGATGCAAGTAAGTCCCAGTTCTTGACTACCTTCAGGTTTGACAAAACACGTTCCGTTAAGCAATTCCGTCGCTCTCGTAGCCGCCGCGCTGACTGCACACCTTCTCTTCAACGAAAAGCTCGGTTTGCGAGGTGAGTCAGATTAAATTTATCCAAGCACCTTTTTCATTGTTTTCTATGGTTGCAAATCAGGCGCATTTTTCGACTGGTTTTCAGAAGTCGACAGGGATATTTGGCCACTTATCCTGTGCTTAATGGGGGTTAATGCATTCATGGCGAATTGCGCAGACTTGACGTGTAAGTGAATTATCCGAAGTTCCTGTTCGGCCGTCGTAGAGTTTCGTTTACCTAGTGTGAGTGTTTTCACTTCGTGTTGAAGTGGGCCATTTTGGAAGATAGGTTGTAAAGTTAGATCGCTGGGGTACCACCGCTAGTTTATATACTTGCCAGGCGGAAATATTGTCGAGACACTTTGATGACCACTTGAGCTAGTAGTTAAACGATCGCGGTGTTCACCGATTTCTTCTCTCCTTTAGGTTTTTTTGGCATCGCATTCGTCGCTGTTGGTCTTTTTCTCTGTCAACTAAGTTCTGAACGAGGTGGCTGATTTTTCCCTAACTCAATTATGCCTTTGTTGGTTAAACAATTTATACGTTTAGCAATATAAACCCTAAAACACTCTTTGACAGATGCTTTTTGGGGTTTCGACTGGGTGGCGGTGCTGTATTCCGCAAAGGCGTGATGCAAGCTATGCTGGCGCAGTGACCGGGATGATTTCGGCCCTTTTGTCCGAACCCACAATGAGATTGGCGTTTTGCTTTTGGATGCTCGGTTCTGCAAACATCTTGTTCCTTTTTCTTAAAAAAATGGAGCTATATGAGTCTTGTGTGCCTGGCGACACCGTCTTCAATCCCCACAGCGATGGCAGACAAGCTCTGACTCGCATCCCCACTAGGACGATGGGAAATTTGGTGATCGGGTACTGGGTTTCCGAGGCAGCGTACTCCGAAGGATTGTGAGGGCAAAGGAAGGGGGCTGAATGGGGAGTATTGTTTTACGGGTAAGACTTCAAATGGGAGGGCAAATTTATCAGAGAACGCTAATAGGTGGCGATTTACGACGTCCTTGATGGTAACCACCGCCATCATTCAAATGCGGGAATTCACGAAATTTTTGTGAATTCGTCCATACAGAGGGTATCTAATTAAGGTCAGCAGACTGCTTTGGTTGCCTTTTTTAAGAGATACATTAACAGGGACCTTGACTTAAGTATGGCAGTACGTTGGTAAAATCAAGCTCGAGCCGAGGGGGAAGATTCCGTTATGTTAATGTGGTTTGTGTCAACAAATTAGGGTTGGTTGTGGAACATGCAGCAAGCACAAAACCCGGCAAAAGTATCCTTCTAAATTCAAATGATTTGTGCTAGTGAGCATGGATTTGAAAGAAAGTATTGATTTTTCCCTCACAAACGAGTAACTCCTTCGTTAACTTCAACGACACAGTATTGTTTTTAGTTTTGGGGGCACAAACAATGCCAACAGTGACTCAGACAGAGTGCACTTAGTCCAGACGGTCTCAATAATGAAAATGTCGCCTTTGGAAGACACCCAACCAGCTGCACAAACTCACCAAGTTGATCTCGATGAGCTTCGACGCCGTCTACAAGCCCTCAAAGAGCAAAACTCGCTGGACATCGAAGAAGGCTCCGACCTCGAAAGTGCCCGTGCGAAAGAAAGAAGTCAGAGCAGATTGGCCGCATTTCAGAACGGTGTGGCCCGTCTAATTTCGGCCCCTAGTGTCACGACTACATCCTTGCGCCCCCTAACCAGCCTTGCTTTAATGGGTGGTTCCATTCTCTCAGGATTGGTTGGAGTGCGTGTCATTCGCCGGCTAGGTCTAGCAGCTCGTGCCCGCATTAGACAGGTCCGCAATAGCACACGAAAAGGCAGTCTCTTCCAAAGTCGTGGAACTGTCAGACAGAGGAGCCAAACTTTTCAGGATCGCGGAATCCAAACAGAGGATTAGGTTAGTATGAAAGAAAACGACGGAAATCCATGAAGAGCCAGAACCTCTCTGTTTCAGGTACTAGTAGTTTAATTTATCCAAAAAAAACAAGATCTGTGTTAAACTGTTCAGTGACGTTGTCCCGCGTCTACAAGCCACCTTCTGCGTAGTCATGTGGCATGCCCAATTTGAAGTTATCGACTTTTTATCAGTGCGTCAAGTGTCGAAGAGAAGGTAGGAGGCTAGGGAGGAGGCGATGGCGGAATCAGGCTCGAAATCGCAAAATGACGCTAACCACTGTGTAAAGTGCCGAAATGATTCCCTGACCGAATTATGCCGTAAATTCCAGTCCATGAATACTTGGTCCAGCAGGAAACGGCTTCTTGCCAAAAAGGAGATCCTACCCTGCTGTTTTTCTCCCGATCCTTCAGCTGATCGCGACATCAGCAATGCTAGCCCGGAAACAATAGCATTTTGTAAACAAGATCAGTGCCATTATTGTATCTTCATTTATGTGCGATCGAACGAAGTGAGTTCGTTTTCCTGATTGTTTATTTGCCATACAAAAGAAAAGAGTAACATAGTTTGTAGATAAGTCTATTTTTGTGACCTCCGTTCGCATAAAAGGACTTATTGTGCAAGGAATTGAATTAGTTGACAGCAGCATCGGTAAAGGCGAAACAGTTTCGCAAAGACCGCTTACAACCGAATTTAGCCTTAATAACATAAAATGAATAATTTCAGGATCATGAGACAGAAATGGCTTGAATGACATCTGAAACAATGCGTCTGTATCCACTTTAGAAGCACTTAGACAAATGTGTAAAGATGACCAAAATTCGCATGGTTGGTGATATTTCCTGTCGACTTAAAACGCCTCCTCTTATGCACAAGCAAACAAGCCAAGTTCCCTATAATGAGGAGCGGGTAAATTGATTTTATTGGAGAATCACTCTAGCCAGTTCTGCATTAGTCTTCGTGGGTTTTTGAGACTTTGAATCTGTGGACACTTTGAGTTAAAAAAGGAACCCGGCTTTTTGGTAGGTGGATGAAGAACTGCACCCGTTTTTCCTTCAAAAATGCCTAAACATGCTCAACTCTGCTGACATCAGCGACGAGGAGCGCGCCCGCATGAGGGCCACGCTGGCGATGCGCAGTGCGATGCGCGACCGTCGCCTGAGGGCCATCGAGGTGCAGACCAAGTGTCGAGTCCACCTCGGCAAGTTGGCCGGCAGCAGCTCCGTCATCAAGGGTCTGCCGCGGCGCCGCTTGACCATTATTGGTCCCGCGTTCACCAACATCTGTCGGGCCATCGAGATGATGGAGGCGATGTTCCCGCGAGTGATGCGTTTCGCACTCTACCCCTACCGGCTGCCAGCGACCTGCGACTCGAGGAAGTTCCAGTCTAATCGCACCTTTGCACATCATTACATCAATGCTGCGCCCAGGCAATCAGGCTGCATCGGTTTAACGGTTAACATCGACGATTGGAGCAGTTGGCGCAAATACCTCTCGCCTAAGAAGCGGGGCCCCTGTTGCGGGTGAGTTGAAGCCTGTGCTACTGCTGTAATTAAGTAGTGTGGAATACCACAACAATTTCTTTACGCATATCAGAATGTGGCTTACAAGCAGTAAAAGTGAATTGATCTTCAATTCTTTTTGTGCACTTCGCTGGTGAATATTTATCAGAATATCCTTGCTTGATAATGAGCGAAGGATATCACATCGTATTGATTCCGATTTACGCAAGACATGGCGTAATGACACATTTTGCTATTCTCCATTTTGCACTATTGAAATGTGTAAACTAGGGGATTTTGTAAAAGAGCTAATAAAACAGTTAATAAATCTCTTCCAAGCTCACCCAAAGTGGTTTTTTGCCTACATAATCAATGAATCGTCAATAACCACTGCCGTCAGGCTGTCTTAAAAATGGGTCACTATTCCGGACGTTACGTGAGTTAAACACCGGTTTAAATGCCTGGAATCCACATTCATTTTGACAGGTTTCGGAATATTCAAAGGCTAAATGTTTTGTGTATTTTTACTTTTGTCTTCCTTGAAATAACAATAAAGCTGGTTTTTTTTTTGATTTCACAGGAGATCAGGCATATATTGAAAGCGACAGTCGTTTGCCGATGAAATGGTCTTCCAGTTTTTTATGCGACGTGGATGCTTTTACCACGGATGAACAGCCATCAGAAATGAGCTAATTTCAGACTACTCTATCTGGAAATAAGCTCAATTTGTTTCAGACTTGTATTTATTTCTTGAATTCTGTTTAATAAAATTTTCCCTTCCATCTCGATATTGTCTTTATGCTGATTGAAGATGAATCAGAATTACTGATGGGCTTTTTCAAATGCTCGAGTTTTGCCACTTCAGTTGCATCTATTAAGCTCAACTTCAGGTAGCCCGTAATCCTGAAGATTCATCAGGTTTGGATGACTACGAATTGGTGGGTGTCTGATGTTGTAGGACAGGTCAGGTTTTTTTATCGAAGACAACGGATTCTTTATAAGCAAATCTGGCGCCAAATTGGAACGCTGGCCTAACTGCTTCAATTGTGGGATTGTTCTCAAGGCCTTAATGATCGGCAACTTGTCTGTCCCGATATTTTGTATTGTGTTCGTCCATAGGGAGAAGAGAATTGGCTTTACGCTTCACAGAGTCCACTCCTGACATCGGCGACAGTAGTGGTCGATGGATTTTCACAAGGTCAACTCAAGGCGAACATAAGACGCTAAGTTTACTGTTTATAGGCGCTATAGAACAGTTTAAAAAACAATCATATGACATATTTAGAAACTGTGTTTTTAACTCAGCATTATTTAAGTCTAGTTGACTTCCCTTTTAGCAGTGAATAAGTACAAAACAGGGTACTAGAGAAGTCCTAGCTTTCATTTTACAACGAAAACACTGCGGCCTGTTTCACGTAAGAGTCCAGTCGCAGTTTTTACACAAAACGCCAAAAATTCTACAGCCCAGTTCAAATTTTTAAAGTTGAACACCACGCACAGTTATGGAAGATGGGCTGCTAGATATTTAGAAGCGACCTCCCACTATCACCAATGTGAATTAACCGATGCGAAGTTGGTTTTTTCATGGAGTGAGTTCAAGAGGCTTACCCTATCGGGATCATTCAAGCAGTCTCTAACACACGGAAACAGCAAGATACGACACACGCTTCCGTCGCATCTCGACAAAACCTATTCGAGCTAGAATTGAAGTATGCACGAGTTTTGGCTTTGTACTTACGCGAACACGCATCATCATTGGTGAAAAAGTTTGCCATCAACATAGCAAATTTTGAAAATAGATTACGACAAAGGCCTGTCACAACTAAAATAAACCATAATAACGTGTTTAATAAGCAATAATAGCAGTATCAATATTCTACATAAATGTTATGTGTATTAACGGTTAGTGACCTTTCGGAACTATATCCCTACTTAAGGTTTTTTGGCACAGCATAGATTTCACCCAGTGAAGCAAATTGCCATGTACTCCTAGATGGGTGGCTTTTTTCAATTATACCAATGCGTGCGATCTGTCAGTTAAGGATGCAGTGGCAGGTACTGAGGCCATAATACACAAATCTAATTAGACCATGCATCTAACTTGAAAGGTCAGTTCCTGATTGATCAGAACCAGTTGTTTGAAATGCTGTTTTTTGGATGATATGGAAACAGAGGAACTTAGGTACAAAAAAACTATCACCTCTGGGCAGAGTAAAACAACTAGATGACAAAGTGGTGGATCATCGGTATAACCGCACTTTACTTAGCTGAAGAATATAAACTGAATCTCCTACACACAATTTTTTTTTATATGTAATGCGACAGTTTGTTTACTTACACAAATCTTTTATAAAATGGATAGAGTAGTAGGAGGTTTCGATTCTGCCATAAGAACAAAATGGATCTGATTTGGTGCTTGTGTAGTCCTTATGGAATATGCTTTTGTAGAAGCAGAGTAATTTTGTCAGGATCTGCAGAGAGTCCAGACTCCGACACCACGTTTCCGAGAAACTTGATCGATTGCTGCAGGAAGCAACACTTTTTTGGGTTGACGGTCAGACCTGCTTGATGATATCTCTCAAGGACTTCAGTTAGGTTGTCCAGCGTCGCCTTTTCAGTTGAGCCAGACACTATAACGTCGTCAAGATAGACCAGACATTTCTGCTGGAGGAAGCCTTGAAGAATTTTCTGCATGACACGCTAACAGGTGGCTGGTGTGTTGGCTAAGCCCATGGGAGGGGTGCAAAACAAATAGAGGCCAAAGGATAGCGTAAACGCGACCTTTTCTCGGTCTTTTGGATCCACCTCTATTTGCCAATTGCTGCTCGTGAGGTCGAGGGTGAATAAACACATTTGCCTCGCCAGAGCGTTGAGGCGATCGTCCATACACGGGAAGCGAAAAGAGTCGCGAATTTTTACCGCGGTGAGCTTCTGATAGTCGGTACAGAGTCGGTGGGAGCCATCTTTCATCTTGACGAGGATGACTAGTGCGGCCCACGGGGAGGATGACGGGGTAATGATGCCTTATCGAAGAAGGTCGTCTATGAGGTTGTCCACGTCTGCTCGGCAGTGTACTGGTATTTGTCTGAACACGGGCCATTTTTCTATAACTCTTTCTTTTTGGTATTAAAATTATTACCCTAATAAAATCAGAAGGTGTACTAGTAATATTCATTCGCTGATCCGAGCAGAGAAGGCAGTAAGTCTGACTGTTATCGGTATTACTCAGTGTACCTCGATTGGACTTAGACCTAAATTCAACGTGAATGGGATTTTTAATATAGGTTTGCTTCATTTTTCGCAGTTCATTTGTTACCAGTCAACTTCTGTTCCTTCAGTACAATGTAAAAACTCGTTCATGAGAAAAAAAACCTTGCTGGTGAAATTTGATTAGAGACACTCAAAGCCGAGTCAGGCATGGCATATGTATCAAATTTACTGTGTTGGGAAATTACATGTACTGGTAATAGGTTATAAGGCGTATGCGGCCTAAATTACTAATACCCGAAAATCCAAAGTGAATAGCAAAGCAGTTGGCTTTTGATGTGTCTCTTTGAGAACCCCTGCAATTCCAAAGCCGCCAAAATCACCCATTTATGCTGTTTGGTAACACGATGTGCCAGTAATTTGAAGAAACAGGTTTGAGTTTGAATGTCACTACGGAAGCAAGAACTGAAAAAAACACTAAATAAAAGCAACTCGTAGACCCCTCCTACCTGCATGGAATTGCAAAATCGCTAAACACTTGAAAGGTATAATTACTGGCGACTCGACGTGTTCTAATACAAAAAAGGGAACAACTTACCTAATCTTGGCAATATCGCCCATTGTGTTCTGTGACCTTGCGCCATCTCTAGGGTAACGTACGAACTTGCAGGCTTCGAGACACTAAAGTCATCGACGTTTTGAACTGTTCATCCACTAAGGCGAGCTTCTACATTGACCGGAACAAGTAATGGTCTAATGGGGCCAGGTCTAATGAATATGACGTGTGTGGGAGAACTTCCAATCCCAAGTTCAAGAGGGTCTTCTGAGTTGCAAGAACAACGTGGGGTCGAGCGTTGTCATGCGGCATCATGACTTCCTTGCTCAGTAGATGGACTTTTCTGATCATGTTTAATTGTCGGCTTTAGGGTTGGGCAGTCAGCGCCCGACCAGTTTCTAGGAGTTCGCAATAATTTACACCTTTCATGTCCCACCAGATACACAGTAGAATGTTCTTCAAGTTGATGTCCTGTTTCGGCGTCGATGTACTGGGTTGTCCATGGTCTACCCACGACACCTTTTGAGCTTAACATTCCCACAACAAAAATATACCAATTATCACCCTAACAATGTTTCAGTAGAAGTTCATTCACCGTTTTTTACCGGCAGGCAAGCAGTGAAAGGCATGTGTTCATACGTTGACCTAGGTTGTTTTCGATCGACACATGTTGGGGGACCTAACTTTCGAGTTGTTGAATTGTTCCCATCTGGTGCAATGCTGTTTGAGTAACCCCAAGATGAGATGCAGGGTCTTGCTGCGTTTGCGCTGAGTCTTCAACCGGGAGGGCTTGCAATTGCGCATCTTCGATGTTTCGAGGCTGCTGTTCGTGCGTAGCTAGTCACTTAGATCGAAAACACTGCTTCTAAAACGCCTGTACCAAAAAGCATTCGTTTCATAAGACACAGTGTCAGCACCAAGAACACTACAAGCTGACTGCCGTGGTTTAGAAGCATTTTTTTCCTTGATGGAAACCGTGTGAAATGCAGTGCCATCGAATGTGCTGTTATTCTGATCAGAAACAAATGATCTGGAAAATGGACAAGCGTAAAACCCAGTCATGAGTGAACCGTGGTCGCGGCTGTGAAATGATTTGATTTCCCGTAATGGATACTTCAAGCACACACAGTTCAAGAAGTCTACACGTGGCTCGATGCAGCAAAGACGAGGGCTGGGCCGCCATTCCGTCGCCAGCAGCGGATCCTCAACACCACATGGCGAAACAGGCCGCAAGTCTTTTGAGCTACACTCAAAAAGGCGACTGATGACAGTAAATCACGACTGGCACTCTCCACTCCCATGTTGAAGCAGAAGCGAAGAAACACACTAGCTAGGAAGCCGATGCAAGCAAATACAAAAGAATATCTCTCCACTTTCGTTGAGGTCTTGACGAGACCTTAACAGACTAAACTAGCTCCCCCTTGTACATTCCACAGTGAGGATAATCCGTCGCTAATACCGGAACCAAACCAAAACAATGTAATTTGCTTGCCCCACAACCCGATGGGGATTGAAGGGTAAAGTCGGGTCATTGAGAGCAGTACGGCTCAAGGCAGCGTTCAGGTTAGCAGAATACGTTCGAGCGCCTGTCGACTTTGCTTAATCCACACCTTTAAACATGCTTGAAAATGAAAGTAGGCACATGCGGGCTGATGATGCGCTGCGACGAACTTACATGACGTGGAAATGGAAATCCAAAGCTGCCTATATTTGAACATTTTGTAAAGATCTAATAACAATATGTTGAGAGTAAGTTGGCAATTAAATCTGCGTTGAAGTTGGTTTAACAGAATGACATGTCATGAAAATGTGGACGTTTTTCAACGGCTTACGTTAGCCAGCGACGTTTTCTACAAGAAGCTAGCTATTTTTCTATTTGCAGATGTAAATCTCTATATGCTTGCGTTCGAAATGAAATGTTCTAAGAAAAAAATTGAGTAAATACCTCATGATAACGAAAAATCAATATGTCAATGGCGTCTGAACAAAGTAAATCAATGTTCAGGATATTTGCAAAAAAGACAATGTGGCATAACTTTGCGTTTAATAAAACTAATATAAAGAAGGTTCGAACTCACGGTAATTGTTCACTGCCAGTAATTCAGTTTAACGGTGACACATTTCCTGACATCTGACCCACATCGCCGAAGGTATCGAGACCTCCACATGAGACTGCAGTTATAATTACATTTTCTAACATTTTGCCTTCACCAAATCATTCCTACACCGCCAACTCTGTGTGCAAATACCTACACCGGAGTCGATGTAATCAAGTATATAAAGGCGTTCTCGCTGCCATCGCCAAACCAAACCAGAAATCAACATGCAGATGTGGCAGTTCTTTGTGCTTGCCATTCTCTTCTTAGGTAAGTTGATTATTTGATGCCTTAGGTTCCACGTTTGTTTCCACATCACACTTGGTCTTTACTGCAAGTGGCATTAGCAGTACTTCTAAACTGAGTGATTCAGTGTAGTGGGGAAAGTGTGAGGTGAGGTGTGGCCTCACTTAGCAGCTTTTAGGCTAGAAAGACCTGACTTAGTATTCTCGTAATTATAATGTTCTTTTTGTGCGATCCCCCACTAATGTCAGAGGCACCTGCAAATGTGTCTGTAGCATCCAGTAATTTTACCTTCGATTGTATTTAAAGGACAATGTTTAGGAGAGAGGTTTCGTGGGTAAATTTAAGCAACCTCAATGTTTACAAGCAGGTTTAGGAGAGAGGTCAAATTTGGTTTCCGAAATAAGCTGTGTTTTGCTTTTGAAAATGCATCAGCACCACAGTTGCTTTCACATGAAGCAGCTCGAGTCGATCCGCATCTAATTGCATTTTATTTCCCCATTTCGTTTAACTTTAGGAAGTTCAAATGCTCAAAACATGTAAGTCGTCGCCGTCTTTTTAATGCCTTGCTTTAAAGGTACGCTTTTACGTGTTTGGGATCCAACTGCACAGAGTATGTGATATGTGGTCAGATGCTAGTTGGATATGAAATTTTGCCCTTCAAGATAAAGGTGAGAACTTATCTTGTGTCAAATCTACCTTTGTAATTGAATGGAAGTCCTTAATAAAGCCCACCAAGCCAAATGTTCTTAGTTGTAGCTATTTGCCTCATATAATCTTTCATCAGAGCACGATCGGCGTTGATGCATATTATCGGATATAAATGGTACCGCACAATGTGAAATAACAACAGCTTGCTTAAGCTAAGCATGATTTGGAAGATTCACCTTTAATGTATCGCACAAAAACACCGTCATCCGATGTTTTTAGAAGCT